ATCTTTTTCATGGAATGACTTTTGGTCCTTAGCAAAGTGATGAGGGCCAAGAGCTCATTGCCTCTATAAACTGCCTTGATCTAATTTGAATAATTTACATTAATTTTTTTTGAATTTTTTTAAAAAAATTTGTTTTAATATATACAAAATCTAAAACTAAAATGATTTCTTAATTGCAAATTTCTTAATTAAAAATTAAAAATATAGATTAGATTAGGTTTGAATAGTTCAGATTTCGTTATAATGTGATGATTGAGCACTTGATAAGAACCTTGTTGAATACTACTCCTCCGGTCCTTATTATAAGACCCAATTTGACTTATTATTTGGTCCTAATTATAAGACCCAATCTCTCTTATATTTATGCATTTTTTCCAAGATAATCCTTCTAATAATGATAGTTTTAGCCAATATACTTAATTAGCAAGGATATTTTAGGAATAACAAACTTATTATTATAAATACTTAATTACTTTCTTAATCTCCTCAAATAAGTCAATTGGGTCTTATAATTAGGACCGGAGGAGTATATTTAAATTGTAGAAATCTGGTTTTCACAGCTAGACATATTATAGGTTTATTTTATGTATGTACTCTTCCGGTTCTAATTATAGGACCCTGATACTAATGTGTATAAGGATATTATATTTAGGACTGGAAGAGTATATATTAAGGAGGACCTTGCTTCACTTCCATTATTTTTGGAGATCACGTCGTATTCTTTTGATTGAAGGATGAATTACAAATTAAACACAAATAATTGACCATAATAGAAACGAAATTTTACCAACCTAAACACTGGAACCCTCTTAGAAACAAAGACAAACCACATTTGAAATCAAGCTACCCGGAATGATATGAGTTTGGTATAATCATTTTCTAACACAACACACACACGCAGGCACGCGCGCGCAGAGAGAGAGAGAGAGAGAGGGGTGGATATAAGTCGTACGAGCTAGAAAGGACCATTACCCTGACTTCAGGGCTTTGGAGCATTTCACAATTTCAATATGAACACAATCCTACGTTAATTGGGGGCAGTACTGTTTCTGTGCCTTTGCCAACTGCATGCTTTGGACTTGGCTTTCTCACCAAAAACAAACAGTTAGGATCACTTGTTTCCATTGTAATTTTCCTGGCACGTAGGTCCCGTTTGGTAGGGAGCATTGAAAATGAGAGATTGGGATTGGGATTGCAATTGAAAAAAATCATTAAAATAATACTTAACATGAGTAATTGTTTGTTATATGGGATTAGACAAACTCATAAAGGTGGGATTGGAGAATACCACTTCCCCCCATAGTATTCTCCAATCCCACATACATGGCTTTGGCTAATCCCATATATCAAACAATTTCTTATACTAAACACTCTCTTAATAGATTTTTTCAATTATAATCTCAATTCCAATCCCTCATTTTCAATGCTCCCTACCAAACGTAACCGTACTTCTGTCTCTTTTCTATAATCCAGCACATCAAGTTTATTTCGTTTCTCATTATTCTATTATAAGAGGAAGCTGCCTTCCGATTTTCAGAAAAGCTATTGATTACTTCTTCCATTCTTCACACCTTGCTCCTTTCTGATTGAGATAGCTGCACCCTTTTGAATTAACATAGCTGCATCCTTTGAATCAATATGTTTCTTTCACATTATATGTTGACCATGTCTTGGTCTTCACTTCAATGACAATTCTTCTTGATATCTAATATTATTTAGTATTGATAAGTTTCGTTGAAAGTAAATCTATATTGGGAGAATCACCGTCAGCTTTCAAGGAAGGGATTCAATTACCTTAAAGTTCATTAATAACTGAAGAATATGTAATAACAAGTTTCAGAATAAGAAATAACAATAGGTTTAGAATAGTTATTTATTATTAAGATTTTTTAGTAATTAAATCTATTTTTTAAGACTTCATGGTAATTTTTCCATCTATATTTTATAAAAGATACACTACTTTTGATGCTAAATATGAGAGTAGGTTGAAAATTCAATTTAGTCATAAATATAAGACTTTGATTCATTTTCTCTATCACATCTATTTATGTTTTTCAAAGTAGTCCCTATGATAATTATACCTGTTAAGGGGTTTTTATTTTAGTACACATGATTAACAACGGTATTTTAGGAGAGACAATACCTATTTATTACAAATAACTAATTTAATTAATTTTTTTAATATTTATAAATTAGTTATTTAACTGTTATATTAAATACCTGAGTAGTATTAAAATAGCAACGTCACTTTCTTTTTGCCCCTTTTCCTTTTGATTCTTCAAGGAAACATCCTTCAGACTTCTCTCACGATTTAATATAATATCTTAGTTAATTTATTAATCAAGGTTTTCAAAGTTGTTCGTGACCCACTTTGAAAAAAATAATTAATTGAAGTCCATGTCAGTGATTTTATGAGTCCCTGAATTTGAGATATTTGTCTGATTTTATGGAAACGTAATGTCAAGGGTGCGTTTGTATGAGGGAAATAAAGAGAAGAGGAGGAAGGGAAAAATTTTAACGAATTTGATTTGAAAAAATTGAAGAGTGAGATTAAAAGCTTTTAATTAATCATTATTATTATTTATCAAAATTATAAAACCCTACTTCTCCAATTTTTTAAATGCAAGTCATTAAAATAATTTTAAAAAAAATGTCTTACTCACATTTAAATTGAATAAAAAATATTGAAAAGAAAACATTATTTTCTTCCCTTTGAAAGTTGGTTGAATTTCTGGACTTCTTCTCTAGAGGCAGATATCGCTACTATCCTTTACTTACTTGCCTGGGAATGGTAATGGGTGAGTGGGAATATCGTACCTTTCGGTTTGGCTTCTGGGGAGATTTCTCCACCTTTTTGTCTATTGACCCCATTCTTCTTCATTGAAACATCCCACAAACTTCTTTGGATTTAATTACAATATCTTAATTGACTAAGCTGGGGGTTTCTAGTCCATTTTTCAAAAATACGTGATGGAATCAATGGAGGAAGAAGAAGAAGAATAAAGAATGAAACTTGGTTTATTTTAATTTATTCTGGAGCAAAAAGATTTGAGGTTTGTGTAGTCAAGATTATGATTCTATAGTTGGAAGAAAAGAGTTGGAGTGAGATCATGGTTGCATTAAATAAGTAATAATGGAGAGATGAACACGGTTGCTTTTGTTTGATGATTCATTCTCTTTGGTTGGTAAAAAACAGTTTTTTTTTGGGGGGGGGGGCTTTATCATTGTTTTATATTCAAATAAAAATTTGTGCTGGGTAAGAAATCAAACTTCCGATTAAAACATTTAACATACTACCTCCGATCCTTAATATAAGATCTTGTTTGACTTTTATTTTGGTTCTAAATATAAAATCCCAAGCCACTTCGTCTCTCACATATTTATGCATTTTTTCCTAATGTATTCCTTCTAATAATAGTAGCTTTAGCCAATATACTTGATTAACAAGGATATTTTAGGAAAGACAATACCTATTTATTACAAATAACTAATTAACTTCTTTCCTTAATCTACTCAAATTAGTCAACTAACTTTTATATTTAGGACTGAAGATAGTATTTCATAACATGTTTTATTTTAAATAATAATTATTTTTCTAATTAAACAAGCTGTTTTAGTTAATAACGTATTTTGAGAGTAGTTTTACAAGAAATAACTAATTTTAACTAAATTTCTTAACTTACATAAAGTTGTTAAGGATGCTTATAAACAAGAATAGAGAGAGTAATTATTAACGGAATGATATATGAATTGGAACAGATTGTTCCATTTTTTGAGAATTTTACCAAAGTACAAACGATTTTATTTGACTCTTGTTTTTAAGTATGAATAGAATGGATGCCATTTAATGAGTCATGCTATCTTCACTTCTTCATATAAGAGTTAGTTTAATTTTAATTCGATTTTAAATATAAGACCCTAATCCACTTTACATTTCATATTTATCTATTTTTTTCAAAGTAATCCTTATAGTGTAGATGTTAAAGGTTCTATCAGATGGTAGTTCTAGTTAATACTCATGATTAATAATGATATTTTAAGAAAGACAACACCTATTTATTATAAATAACTAACTTAACAAACTTTCTTAATCTAATAATTTTATAAAATAATATATGCTTTTTAATTGAAGGCAATTTTATTTGAATTAATGTGGGATCCTAGATATGAGTATTTTTAATTAATTGATCATGGTGAATGAGGTGAAGACTCTTGTGGGCTTCTTTTGGGCTTGTACCTTCTGAGAAAAACAAATATGCGTGCCCCCGCCCTTTGGATTTTGGGCTGCTTTTTATTTGCCGAGTTTTTTGTTGCTAACACATATTGGCCTGCTGGCCTCGCATAGTAATAAAGTTTTATAAATATGTTGCCTTGTGTTCCTCATGCGAAAAAAATATTAACTGTGAATATTTATTTTTATTTTTTTGAAAAATAGTTATTTTATGAACCGCAAATGCGCAAACGAATTTCTGAACTTGACAAAAAATGGCGGCAACCAGCGATGAGGAAATGGACTCTCTCCTCTCTGCTTTCGATCAGATTTGCGAGGTATTCTCTAACTTCACATGCATCTTCCATTGCGCTTCAGTCAATATTCACCTTTGCTTGGATTCTGGCAAACGGGGAATGAAACCGAAAGAAAATTTCCGCAGTTTATATGGAATTTCAAAAGTTAAATTAGCGACTTCAACTCATCAACAGTGAGGCCTTCCTGACGGTTCTTTTTCTTTCTTCTTTTCAATTGCATTTTCATACAGTGTATCCAATGCAGGATCATGGAACATCCCCGATCGTTATTAATTTATTTCTTAATTTTGGAAATTATGAAATGAATATTTCTGTCTTTCGTGTTAATGCCTTTCGTTTACTGCGAACTTGTGAAATTAATTGTTGGTTTTTCTTGGCTCAGGACGTTAAAAGCGGCATTGCGGAGATACAGGTGCTGCAATTTAACTACAGTGCGGAACTCAAGAAGCGAGAATCTGTTGAAATCACTTGCAACAGTCTGAGAAGAGGTTCATTGTCATGGACTACTGTCGCATGTCTTTGATTGTCGCTGGTTGCTTTCACTCCTATCTTCGCTATCTTATTGAATTTTAAATGAATTGTTAATGCTCTGTAAATCAGAAAACGGTAGGAGAGTGGCTACTGATTCAAAATAATGATAATGAAATTGCTAATAGCACGAATTGAAGTTATTATGAAACTTCACAAACCTTAAATTTGCAAATGCTGTTTGGTTTATTTGTTCACTGTGAAATAGGTACAACGTGTCTATAGGACAATGATAAGTTAAATTTTCTTCTAGTGTGCATGTTCTGTTACGCGAGAGTTCTGCTCTTGTTGGGGACTAAAGACTGATATGTATGGAATTTCATTGGACCGTCAAGACTACGATTAAAACCTCAAGCCAGCGCATTAGTGATTCTCTAACAGTTCCACAAACCCGCGTTATATGTCTCTGGACTAATTTAGTTAGGCTGGAATGTTGCAGAAAATGAGCAGCTAGCAAATCTTTACACAGAATCTTTGAAAGACTTGGCTGATCAGGTGCAGGGTGCCCCCATTGTGCTTTGTCCATCCTTTCTCGCTTCTTAATCCCTTGAGCTGGAGTTTGTCAATTGATTAATCGAGTAAATACTGAATGGATGAACTGGCATGTTGAATAATTTGGAAATAATCACATCCAATCATTGCCTGAAGTTTCTAGTTTATTTATCAATCTTGTGACATTCAGCTTGACTTCCGTACCAAATGCCTCAATTTGAAAGAGGAACTGGAAAGAACTAGTCATGCGCTCGTCTACAAAGAAGATGTAAGTTATAGGCCACACAATTGGTATAGTTCCTTTAATGTTCGCATCACTCCACTGTGTTTAGAATAAGTCTTCCGTGTACTTTTAAAGATACTCCTGCTTCGTTCTGTTCCTCCTCTGAGTTGTACAATACAAGTTCAGACATTTAGTTTTTCAAGCAGGGACATTGGAATGATATGGAATTGCTTAAGCAAGACTACGAAGAAAAGATTGGAAATTTAGAAGCTAAAGTTAAGTGAGTTTTGATCAGTATAATTCGTCGAAGTGTCGTAATGAAATCTTTCTTATCTGTTTATTACGACTGATGATTTTTCACTCTATTTCAGGGCATCTCTCCGTGAGAAAGCAACATATGAAGCAACTGTTAGCCAACTCGACCAAGATCTAGCAGCGCACAAAAATAGTGTACAAATTTTAACTAGCAGGCTGGATGAGCTCCATTTTGAGGTCGAATCAAAATGTAAGTCTTTTATTATGCATAGTATATTTGCATTTTCTTTCCAACATTTTGTAATTTTAATATGCCAGTGAGGAGTGCTTATCTCAAGATCATTTGCTTATAATTGACAGATAGTGTTGAGATTCAAGATTTGAAAGAATGCCTTCTGATGGAGCAGGAAGAGAAAAATGAGTTGAACAAAAAGATCCAACATTTGGAAAAGGAATGTTAGTGCTGATTGCGTCCATGCCCTCTTTTTTTAATCCATGCCTGTTTATTTCATGTTTCTCTATCTTGAGACTGAGATCTGCCAGACCCTTGTATGAACCTTCCTAACCGAAACAACTGATTTAATTTTTTTTTTTCCTGTCCTACTTCTACACAACACAAATTCATTGCTTAATGGAAGCATTCTCATATTTTATGATATATCACTTATCAGGCCACTTTTTATCCCCTACAGTGCTGATTTGTAAAACAAAGATGGTCGACCAGCAGCAGGATATGACCTCAAATTGGCATGTGGAAACTCTTAAACAGAAAATAATGAAGCTGAGGAAGGAGAACGAGGTCCTCAGAAGGAAGCTCTCTAATTCAGGAGAGGGCTAGGGCCTAGGGAATGGCATCGAACTGAAATATAACGAGCTTAAGCCACTTCACTGGAGAAAATTAAATGAGTTCCACTACCACAACTTCAACTTCGTAGTGTGAATGATGCCAACTGTATCTAAAATTAGTGTGCTAATCGACTTTCCATGCTATGAAAGCAAGTAGCGTAGAGGAAAAATTGACTTCACCAAGCACTTGTTTAATTTGATTGAGAATATAACACCTCTTTGGAATTGACTGAGAATACCTGATTTACTGCAGGTCGTGTGTATAGCTCCCTCGCTGTGTCAGGCTAGAGTTGCAATTATTTGACAATAGATTTTCTGAAAATTTTTATGCTAGAATTATCTCCCGTGGCTTTTTCCCCCCGGATATCTTGTAAGTGAAAAATAGATAATAAAAAGAAGAATTACAATGAGGTTCCATACAAGAAAAATAATTACTAAAAAGTCCAATAACAATCTGAGCAACCTGTAATGACAAGTTCTAAAGTGGAGAATAACAACTTCTGAGACTTGTTTTGTAATTTTTTTTTTCTTGTACGGGATCTCATTGTAATTCTCCCATAATAAAACTGCAAAATAAGAAAAATTGGGCATAAATACCCCATTGAGAAATTAATTGGCAAATGAGACCTAGGAAGATCAGTTGCAACAAAGAAGATCAGTTACACACCACAGAAGATCAATTGCACGCATATGGAAGATCAGTTGCACGCATATAGAAAATCAATTGCACGCACACGGAAGATCAGTTGCACAAAAATAGAAGATCACTTGCACACAACAGAAGTTCACTTGCATAAAGTCCCTAGGTTCCATTTGCCATTAATTTCTTAATGAGATTTTTTCCCCCCCCCAATTTTCCCTGCAAAATATGATATCTGAATGATGAAGCTATGAAATAGCCTTAATTTTTAAGGGAACTTGTAAAAAAAAAAAATGTTGTTAGGAAGAAAACCTTATGAATAGCAGCTAAACTGTGAAAAAAAAAAAAGTGATGAGAGACTATTAATCAATCAAGATCTATTAAAAACAACTTAATGTATAACGATTCAATCTGCGAAGCATTATTTTGAAAACAAATATTAATTAAAAAGTTCAAATTTAAAGTTTTGGCGTCAACGTGAACTAAGTTACAGTCGGTGGTCAGTACTTGTTAAGGCACAAGAGTAGAAGGAAAATAGAGACATGCTATTACGAAAATTAGCAGTTACAGAAAGCTAAGCTATACTAATTCCCAGTTTACATCTTGTGGTTGAACCCAGAGTCAGTCAATCCTTGGAATAACTAACCTGGATATTTCTGGGCAGACATGAACTCATAAATCCACTATCCAAACTCCTATCTCCTTTACCACCCCAACAAAGTTTAAAAAGTATACCCCCCTCCTCTTTTCCTCTCGTGTTAATCGCTTTGAAGCTCGATTGAAAAATGTCTTTCAGCCATTTCTCAAACAAGCTGTTAGTAAAAGAACCACACCCAACTCTCATTTCTTCTATCACCCTCTCTTCTACACTAAACTTCTCCAACCACTGCTTCCCACAAGCCTCCTCAAAATACCGTTTGATCTTCGATGAAAAGAGAGCTTCCATGTCCCTCTTGTCGTCACCTGGATTTTGATTTAACACAAAGCGATGATCGATTGAGTCAAGCAACGCATTTGTTTGATAATCGCGTGAGATGGGAATACTGCCTCCTGCTTTGTCTTTCCCATCATCATCATCTTCTTCTTCAGCTCTTACGTTCAGATCAAGTGTGTTAAAGCTTGATTGTCTTGAAAAGTCTTTCTTACAGTTCTTTTGTTCAGAAACCAAGACCACCTCTTCCTTGTCTTCGATTCGGGGTCTTTTGAACTTGGTAAGCAAATCCCATTCAGCCTTGCGTTTGTGATGTAAACCAGGTTGGGTTTCAGTGTTGACTTTCAACACCAAGCTGATCACAGAGTCGTCCTGACTCTGTTCTTTCGTCGAGGCGTTGTCAGTTAATATGATTATTATTTGTCCTGGATTCGCCTTTGTGCTGAAATCTCCAAACTTACCTGTTTCAAATCCATCTGAAAGGAATTTTCTGAACCGGGCATCAGCAGAATCAACGTTTTCTATCAATACCACAACCTGTTCGTGGGTTTTCAATGCTCTGTTCAGCATTTCAGAGCAAGGGGATGATAAAGTCTCTTTCTTTCTCATGTCCAAGTTGAATAGTCGATGAGCTGAGCCAAAAAGTGATTCTGCAATAGCTCGTGCCAATCTTCTTTTTCCAGTAGAGTCATTTCCCTGCAGATACAACCAACAAGTACTGTTTTGCTTTGCTGATTTTGAATCAACGAAGAAGGCCTCTGCTATTGAAGAAACTAGTGTTTCAGACTGCCATGGCACATTCTCCTGCAACAGTTTACAAATATGAGCTCGTCGCAGTTGTGTTGCATGATCAGTTTTATTTTCCACCGTTTGCCCCGAGTCACCGAATGAGGAATTTCCAAGAGCAAGAGTAATCTTTACTTCTTTACCTTCCATTCCCTTGAGAGAATCCAAGCTCGGCTCAGTTTCCTTGTGTTTCTGATTTTCATTGCCGAAATTGAACTCAATGGTGCAAGATTGTTGCCTCCGAAACCGAGGTACAAGGTTTGAGCTGCTATAACTGGGTTTAACAGTGGAATCTGCGAAGCATATGGAGCTTGAATCTGTCATGATGCTATTACTACCTTGGTTTGGCCACCATGGGTATGATGGACTATAAGGATAGATCTTCGCATTTGAACTAGGATTGCTGTGGACGGTGTTGCCCCACTGGTCTTGAAAATGCTTGCTTTGGTGAAGACAGTGGCATAGTCTATTCCATTTTCTTCTCAACTGGGCTAGTTCATCCTGGACAAAAGAAGTTATAGATAAGTCGAACGTCTCTAGTTGGAGTTAATTTTAATTGGAATCACACACACACACACACGTATATGTATATATATCGTAGTTCACCTCGTGATGATCTTCAGTGCTGTGAGATTGGAGCCAGGAAGGCAACAGATTCTTCTGGCCTGGTTTGAACATCTGAGCTTCTTTCTCGTAACTGGATGAACATTCTGCACAGCAAGTAAGCTTATCTTGGTCCTCCTTGACACTGAAGAAGGGCTTCGAATCGAGTACACTACAAATTGATTGCACAACCTCCAATGAACATCCAAATTTAAACAAAGAGACATCTTTTTGAATATGTTCTCCTTCAGAATCTCTCATATGATTCTTTCTTAACAGAGTAATTGATCATTCCAAAATATGCCACCCCCGACATTAACAAAATTATTTACTCTTCCACTGCTAATTTGTCTTGGTAAAATATAGTTTCTCTGAAAATATCGTGTCATGTAATATCAAGAAGTAACATGCAGACAAAACAAAAGTGAAGCAGAAAAGGTGCTGCATTTGCTTGTGTCTTTACCAACCAAACCATACTTTTGACAGTATATGCACTGATCAGGTTCAAAATGAAAAACAAATTAAGCTTCAAGGAGCAATATCACCAGACAACTTTCCAATGAAGACATTTTTCTTTTTGCTTTATTTGACATTAGAATAGAGCAGCAACCTGATAAATTAAGAGATTGATTTACCTGGAAGCATGGAGGCTCAGGCCTAGTCCATTTGATGATGGAACAGGAACAGCTTGCAGAGCCCACTGGGTTTCAAGAGGCGGTTGCCTCATTTGACACCTCATGTACGTCTGATAATTTGCTGTGCCCATTAGCCATACCTTATTATTATTATAAGCCTTTGAACTGCTACCATAATCACAGAATAACTTTCCTATTTCTGCAACTAGATATTCAACAGAAGAGAACCCTTTCTCCTTTTCACTCAGATTTGAGTCCCCCACTGTCCATTTCAGGTCTCCAATATATAAAATAACACCACCGCCGCCGCCACCACCTCCTCTTAATGAAACAACAGAATCCACCTTCCTTTCCAGTTCCAAGAGGCTCATCTCAACTTGTTCTCTTTTCATAAAGCTCAAAGAAGAAGATGCGAATTGAAACTTGATGAACCGAGTTGACTTCAACTCATCAGGAACCTCTCCTCGTTCAAACCTTCCCATGAGCTCTCCCACAAGGCCTTCAGTGAAACTCACAGCATCACCAACTATCACAGTGTTCTTCCTCTTCTTCCTGAGCAGGATATCCAGCACCAACTTTATATCTTCATCATAATTACAAGAGAACGCTACTGGGGCTCTCTTGAGAGGAGAGAACAGCGCAGGGTTATTGCAGTGATCAAAAGAGTAAGGTAATTCACTGGTGGGGGAAGGTGAACAAGGAGAAGAATAAACCCCACCGGAGCTATTGTAACACTGGAAAACAGAAGAGGCTGAAGAGTCATCAAGATTGTTCTTGACAGCAGTACTAGAGAAGCCAGCCTCTCTCATGACTCTACTAACACTAGGGTCATCAAGGATGGATATTATAAGCTGCTCAAGCTCAACTTTAATGGTGGTCAAAAGTGGTTGCTGCTGCTGCTCGATGCATCCTCTTCTATGGTGAGCCTGAGCTCGTTTCAGGGCGGCTACGAGAGCGTTGGAAAGAGAGGGTTGGTGGGGGTGGAGGAAGGAAGGAGGGGGTGAAGTTGGCAACCTGTTGAGGGCGACATTGAAGCAAAGCTCGAGGGCTCTGCAATGGAGAGGATGGGACGAAGAAGAAGACGACGTCGTGTGGAGATGATGAGACTGAGACTTGAGACAGGCTCTTCTGAGAGAACTTGAACGGAGTGTGAGAAGAGTGGCGGCGACATGGAGAGGAGTGACCTGGGCATGGCCCCTCCGGCGAGCCAACCCCAGAGAGTGCTTCAACACCGAAGCAGCCTCCGCTGTGAGGGTCTGCGGCAATCCACAACCTCCTGAGCGCATTACTTGAACCCAAACCCCACCCCCACACCACCCTAAACAAGCTTTCTCGGCTTGCTTCACACTTTACGTACAACCGCACAGGACTACTTCTCTGTTCCTATCCCCACAAAAACCACCCTTCAAGGATTAGCTTGGAGCTAGCCTTGGCAAGTTCGCAAACACAGAGAGAGAGAGAGAGAGAGGGAGGGAGGGAGGGGGAGAGAATGAAAGAGAAGAGAGAGAGAGTGTTTGAATTTGAGAGAGCTTAGAACATGAAGTGAAGCTTTAGAAATATCATACTAGGCTGCACTGCCTTCTTTATACTTCTTACTTGTCACTGTGTTTCCTGTTTTTTCTTTTGGATGGTTTAGTTTATCATGCCAATTAATTTAAC